CTTCAAGGAATTGGTAGAATTTGTGTAAAATGACCAAAATACCCCTGGGATCAAATCTCTCTTTGATGTTGGCAAAAAATCATGAAGTTTGACTTTGGTTTGACCACAGTTGACCTCAGTTTGACTTTTTAACTGCGTTGACTGCTTTTGACTTATCTGATCATCTGACTGAGCAAACTTTTGAGAAAAGTCTTGAAACTTGACATGGGGGTTCTTATACACATATAAGATGTTATGAAGCTCACTTGAAGTCTTGGAAGTCCATTTAGCCTGATTAAAGTCAAAACCCTAGTTTCGGATGCACTGCTTAGGAGGTGCATTGTCTGAGGGAATTGTCAACTCTTCTGACCAATTGTGAACTTTGTGAACCTTGTGAACATCATGAAGTGGCTTCGTAGACCTCATGACCCTTAGGAAAGCTTTGTAAACATTATGAATCTTTTGAACCTTGTGAACCTTCAAGAAGCAACCTATGGACTTCATGAACCTCATGAAAGGTCTTGTAGATGTTGAGAAGTTTGTGAACCTTGTGAACCTTCAAGAAGCACAAAGTCTTGTATTGTGAGGGCAAATTTTGGGGTGCAACACAATGGTGATTGGAATTTATTTTAAATTCCAATGGTAATTGGAATTTCTTTTAAAAGTCTATTGGTGACTGGCATGGTTTGAAAATCCAATGGTTAATGGTACCAAAAATCCAATTGTTTTTGGCGCTCTTATCCCACTTTGCTATTGATATTCGGAGCTTGTTATTTCTCTGACTTTCTAGTGTTTCTTGAAGATCACGTTTGAACTCTTCATTTTAAGAAATTTCCATAAAGTTTGTTTGTTTTCCAATGTTTGTCTGATCTCTTGTAAGAAGATCATTTCTCATTTCTTTTGGTCTTTGGTTGGAAGACCACCTTTTCTTGATTCTCTGGTTAGAAGATCAATCCTTTGTTTAAATTGATCCCCAGTGGATATCATACTCCCTTCTGGTTTTATCCCCAGTAAAGAGTTTGTCTGTTCGTCCTTATTTTAGGGTGTCGTCCAGTCATGTCCAAACCTGTTGGCTAACTATTCCAGATTTTCCCTGGTGGAGACCATCTCTTAGTTCTACCTCCAGGGAGGACCCTATCCTTCTAAATTGTTAGCTGGTCATGCTCGAATCTGTAGCTCTATCACTTTAGATTTCCCCAACCTATTTCAACTTCCCCAGTGAGGGGTTACTCATGGTGTTGACTCTATCCATGTTTGATGTCATTTTTGTCTGTATTTTTGCATTTATCATTCATCATTGTCATCATGTTAAAGTTCATGGCATGTCAACACTATCTACATAGTTCGTTTTTGTCCATAGCATAGCATGTCATTGTATCTAAAGAAAAAATTTCGGTTATCTATATTTAAATACCTTTCACCTTGATTTTATGAGGTTTTTCATCACTCATTTCATCCGGTAAAGATATTTAAATAGGGAAAATTATCATACCCAAAATTTTACCTTAGATTCTTTGATATTTTGCATGAGCATCATAGGTCAATCATCCTTGCATAACTAACCAATTCATCTAGCTTTGTGGCTTTGTTTGTTTTGTGGAATTAAGGTTTGTGGAGAAAAGAAGAAAGTCCTGATTAATCACGATTTGAGTGAAGAATTAACCAATGAAGCCCTCATGCATCTCAAGGGTCCTTAAGAGCTTATTTGGTCCCAAGAAACCCAAGTCAAGAGTGTCCTAAGTGGATGGGATAAGTTTTGTCTTCATCTGATTCAAAAGTCAACTGTAGCTTCATAAAAGTTAACCATTGGGTTTTGTGATCAACCATGAACTTCACAAGTTTTATTCCATGGTCTCATATGAATGAATCAAGAAAAATCAAGTTAGAATCATCAAATCATGAGTTTGGTGAAATTAAGGTTTTGGTTGAAAAATTCTAAGTATGGAAATCAAGAATTCTAGTCATCTTGCAAGAGTCATATCTCACTCATCCATGAGACAATTGAAGCAAACCAATGATATTTGTAAAGAGGATATCCTAAAATAAAAGTTTGTAGAAGAAATCATGTCCAAAAGATAAATGGATTTGGAGTTATATTGATTCAAAGTTGGGAAAAACTTGATTTGAAAATTCCATACTTAGAAAATTTTCTAAGTTATAAATTTCAGCTTGTTGGAATGATTTTCATGACCAAATTCAATAGGGTTTCAAGTTTAATTTGAATTTTTCATCAACATGGAAGTTTTACATAATCTTCTCATATTTCTTTTTATATCAAGAACTCCTCAAAATCATGTCTAGAACTCAAGTTATGGTACTTTGAAGTTAGGGTTGCAAAGTTGTTAAATTTGACAATATAATTTTCAGGATTTTGAAAGCAACTTCATGTGGAGTTTTCTTAATGTTCCAAGCCTCATTTCAAAATTCCTCAAACATAAGAGTTATCCCTTGTTATCCAAGCTTTCCAAGCATACCAAGAAATCTCCATTTTGATTAATAAATCACAAGTTATGATGTTCTAAAGTGAGGAAGTTTCAAAGTTGGATTTAGCAACTTAGAAATTTTGCTAAGTTTTTTGAGGTACCTAGTTTTACCAAACTTCCATGCCATATTTCACGTGTTTCTAAATCTCAATTCAAAATACCTATAACATGAAAATTGTAGAGTTATATGTCAACTTTCTAAAGAATCCAAGATCACACCATTTGAGCCAAAACTCTTGGAGTTATGATGCCTTGAAGTGAGTTCATGCACATGACCATACCATATCATTATGTCAAGTTTCATGAACCTTTTTAGGAAAACTCATGCATCATCCTTGTGCCTCAAATCATACGCTATCCCTCTCTCATTTTTCATACCAAGTTTACCATTTCAAGTTCAATATTTATGGCATACCTTATGCCACATTTGAACCTTTCATGAAAAGAGAAACCGAGCCAAACTTGTACAACAAGCTTGCCGCTCTTTCCTCTCTTCATGCTGCTATTTTGACCATACAGTAAAACCAATTCATAACAAGACAAACCCAATCATAGACATATATTGACAATAACATGGTACCCTATCTTGCGGTTGAAAGCAAATTTTCAGGAAGCACACAAAAAGAATCGAAATGGAATAACAAGGGGGACCATGCGCGGGCAGGAAAGGCAACAGGATCTTTACATAAAAATACCAAATGGAATTCATCACTCCCTCTCTCAATTTTTTTTCCTTCCATTTAGCTCTAAGACAATTTTTTTTTGAAAAAAGCTACTTACCACCTTTTAGAGCTAGCAGCTTCAATATAACTCACACAACTCTATCATAGCCAGACACCAACACACTTGAGATTGGGGGCTTCATGTTCATGTAACGGATATCTCCATTTTCAAACACACATAAATTAAAACAAATCTCTCCATTGTATCTAAAAATAAAACCATCACCACGTTTCATGTATTATCTCGACATACAAAACTCAATAAGAACAACAACTTGACTCATAAAGACAACTTCCCGAGAACATCACAGGTGTTTCCCTCTTTGATAACTCACTTTGACAGTTACGACATTTTCGACTCAATGGCGACGTTTAGGCACTGCAAGTAGAGTTTACCATGTCTGGTATGTGATTGCTGCCATTTCAACTTTATTGCATATGCATGCTCTTTGATGCGGCTTTGCAACAGTTACGTAAAACCGCACCACTGCATGGTGTTTTTTTTGTCTTTTGGATTTCAAGGTTGTTTACTATGTTGGTTATTTTAGTATGAGTTTTAAGTTTGTTCTTATATATATGTTAGGATTGTGAGCTCATTTAAGAGGTTCTGCAGCAGTCGTATTGATTCGAAATCGAGTTTGAGTTTGAAGGTTTTTTTTATTTCGTTAAGTAGCGCATGGTTTTAGGAAGGAGTTAGGTTTGGTATGATGAGGAAAGCTGGTTATGACTTAGGTTTAGCATGCGTTTTGTCTTGTGTGGTTTAGGGGTTTCAAGGTTTTGCTTTTATTTGTTTTGGAATGAAAGGTAGAGAGTGGACAAAATTAACGTGGAGGTTATTGTGATTGAGGAAATTTTACCCCATACCCCTACACTAAAAATTATTGGACCAAAATACCCTTGTTTAAATACTTATAATTTTAAAAAATTTTACTTTCACTTCATTTGGATTTCAACACTTCCGGAGCTCTCTTTTTCCTACTACAAACCGGAACTCTTTCAACAAGTCATCCGAAACACATTTTTTGATCAGCACATACCAGAACTCCAAGAGTAAGTCTTCCGATTTGTTGATTTTTTGGTTTGTTCACCGGAAGACTTAATGTATGTCTTCCAGTTTGTAGTTTTTTTTGGTTTCTTCACCGGAAGACTTAATGCAAGTCTTCCGGTTCATAATTTTTTGCTTTTGTACACCGGAAGTCTTGGATTAAGTCTTTCGGAACACGCGTTTTACGTTTTGTTCACCGAAAGTCTTTGCTCAAGACTTCCGGTTCATGATTTTTTTTTTTAATTTTTAAATTTTAATTATATTTATTTATTTTGTCAGTGGTGCGCACACGAGGCAGAGATGGTAGGATCCCTCGTGGACTAGGACGGGGCGAGTCATCGAGAATGGCTGAAGAAGATCATTTTAATGCATCTGCATCAGCATCCGAGCCGGTTGGATATCCAGGAGGACCGTATGATACATCTCTGTTAGTTAAGTACGAACATCATGTTGCTAGACATATATGGTTCGGCGAGGTAAGTAAACGAAAATTATTTAATATTGAATAGAATTCGAATTTTTAATATTGAATTTTATAATATATTTACTTTTAATTGTTTTCAGGAGAGAGGGTCGAAGAAAGAGTTAAAGGTAACGGGACATGGATTGAAGTTGATTCATAGGGTTCCACTACAGCTACCCAGAGAGATGGAGGGCTGGATATCTAGGTCTAGTCTAGCTTCACTTCAGAGAACGAGTTTAACAAAGATGGACACGAACCTAGTTTCCGCATTTGCATAGAGATGACATTTAGAGACATCCTCATTTCACATGCCGTTTGGTGAGATGACGATTACTCTAGATGACGTATCTTGCCTGCTTCACTTGCCCATCAGGGGAGCATTCTGGAGCCCTCAAGATATCAGTGAAGCGTTTGTTGTTGAGTGGGTTGTTGATTATTTAGGAGTGTCACGGAGAGTAGCACAACAACAAGTCTGTGATTGCAGGGGTTCCTACTATAAGCTGGAGTGGTTATATGATCGATTCATAGAGCATAGAGCTGCATCTAGATGGGATTATGCCACTAGAGCTTATTTGCTGATGTTAGTGGGTTCCACTATTTTTGCGGACAAGACGTTTACGCTTGTCGAGGCCCGATACCTCTCACTGTTTATAAACTTGGATGGCTTATCAGGATACAGTTGGGGAGCAGCTGCGTTGGTTACTCTTTATAGATATCTCGGAGATGCTTCCATGTTCAGCTGTAAGCAGCTTGGTGGTTATCCGACTCTCCTACAAGTATTTATTTTAATTTAGTATATTTTGTTTTAATAAATTTTATCTAGTATATTAATTTTATTTATCTAGTTTATTATGTTATAATTAAGTATTTTAAATTTAATAACCATATTAATTTTGTAACAGTGCTGGATTCATGAGTATTTTCTAACGCTTGGAAAAAAAGGAGAGAACTGGATACCAGCTAGTAATGCGGGTCTCCCTCGAGCGATGAGATGGTCCTATAGGCAAGGTGCCTTGAAGGTGGATGACTTGCGACCTATTCTGGACGAGCTGACACCTGCCGATGTCATATAGCGCCCATTCGAGAATCATAGAGTATGGCGTCAGTTTGATGAGCTATGTCTATATAGGGGGTGTCTGAGGTGGGGTGACACTGTTGTTCCATACTTGCCTGACAGATGTACGCGTTAGTTTGGATACAGACAATATGTTCCATATCCACCTCTTAATCATATGATGATTGGTGATATTGATGTTGACTGGATTAGTTACCATGAAAGCATTCAGAATGTGATTCGTCCGACATCACCGGCCACCACCCCATATGAGACAGATGATGGATATCTTGAGTGGTATTATCGTGTCTCGCATCCTCGTCTGTTACCGCCACCCTATCATGATGCGCCAACAGAGATGCCAGTTCCTGTATATGAAGTAGGACCATCTGATCCTAGTTGGGCTCGTGTGTCTTTGTTGATTCATCGTTATCTTCAGCAGGCTGGTGCTGAAGAAGATGACCCACAGTTTGCGGATTTGTTCGAAGCTTTACATATTGCTCGATCACAGTGACTTATATTTATATTTATGATTATATGTTAACTTTTAGACTCATTTGACCTAATTATTTTATGTTTATGTGTTAACTTTTAGACTCATTTGACCTAGGTGGTTTATGTTTACAAATTAAAAAATAAATAACATAATTCATGATTCATGTTTTGAAATTAAAAAAGAATAACATAATTCACGATTCATGTTTTGAAATTAAAAAAGAATAACATAATTCACGATTCATGTTTTGAAATTAAAAACGAATAACATAATTCACGATTCATGTTTTGAAATTAAAAACGAGTAACATAATTCATTATTCATGTTTTGAAATTAAAAATGAGTAACATAATTTATAATTTATAATGCGTGGGTAATATAGGTGTAAGTTGTTGCCAATGTTGTAGACGTCCTGCAAATCCTAGCATCCAAGATGTTGTTGCTGGAGAACGAAACTTCTTCCAATCTACTGTCACTGGTGGAAATGGAAACCCTTCTTTCATGTTTACCTAAATAAAAAAATAATCAAAATAGTAAGTAAAAATAACGAAAAAGACTTAGGGTTAATCGCATTATCTAAAAACAATTAAGTACATGAACCCAATGATTTCTGTTTACAAAACCAATGCAGTAAATTGCTACATTAGGTGAAAATGAGGTTTTCATAGGGAAGAAAGTCCAGCATTCAATTCCTAAACAGACAAGTACAACGTTATAACGATTCGCTATCACGTAACCCATATCCATATTTTTTTCGTCGCACTCTGGGTTCCACTATCAATATCTTTGTGTTTTCCTCCTTTATCACATCAAAATATTAATTTGTTACTTCTTCCTCTCTTACCTGTTTCAATATCTGAACGAGTGATGATAACCGTAACTTTATTTCGGATTTCGATCTCTTTAATCCATCTTATTACCTCTTCTCGTGTACCAAATCTTTGAGGAGTTGAAAAAATATCAGACGTATCTACGCATATCTGATCTTTATCGCATATTTGTAAAGGAATTTCTGAACCTACATAAAAAAAGATTTTTAAAAAAGTTTAAAAATAATTAAAAAAAAAGGACAATACAAACCGGAAGACTTGTAAAAAGTGTTCCGTACACGTTTTACAAGTACCGGAACTCTTACGAAAAGTGTTCCGGTGAACATCCACGAAAAAACATAAACCGGAAGTCTTTCATAAAGTGTTCCGGTACAAAATTTACGTAAACCGGAACTCTTTGCATAAGTCTTCCGGTTTGAGAAAAAAAGTATACCAGAAGTCATTTTGAAAGTGTTCCGGTAAACTCGTGTTTTGAATTCCTTGGAAGATAAAAAAAAATCGGACACTGTAAAAAGTATAAAAAAATAATATAATAAAAAAATATATAGGGATAAAATTGGTATTTTTTTTTAAATTGTAGGGGTATGTGTATAAATGCAGGGGATACAATCTTCTGTGATTGATACTAGGAGCCCATTGCCAATACTCGGGCCTTTCTTTAGCCCATTATGTTCTCATTTAGTTTTTATATTAATTATTATTTTAACATATCATTAATATTTTTATTTATTTATTTATTTGTTTTATTTATTTATTTATTTGTTATAATATTAAAAACTCAAAAAATAAATATTTTTTTATTTATTTCTTTTGAGTTAATTTAATTCATTAGAATTACTTATTTGATAATTAATTCCTATTTAATTGATTTGGCTTCAGTGATTTGAGGTTTGATCTTTTATCCTAAGTTTGTGGCTCTATTTCTATTTAATTTTGATCTCGATTCTTTTATTCTCCTGTCATTCTCGTTTCTCCTTTGTGTGGTTATTTGTTGTTTGCCTTCTCTTGATATTCTGTAATGTTTGATTCTTGATATTTTGTTTATGTTGTAAGTTGATCATCTCCTTTAGCATATTCCTTGTTCATAATGTCATTTCATCTATGATTGTCATCTTTTTGCTTCAAGCTCTATTTTTTTTTGCTCCCCTGTGGTTACAAGTGCTTGTCCCTGGGTTCCAAAGGAAGGGAACATTTGTTGACTGCTATGTCATTCCTCTTTTAGGATAGCCTAACCTTCCTACCCTACTTTATGACCTTGTTAGAGTCTTCCCTTGGCCTTGTTAGAGCCACTTTCCCTCTTAACCTAGTCTTAGGTTAGGGCTTGATAACCCTGTGTAAGTACCATTCCCTCCTTTTGGTCTTGTTAGAACCAATTATTTTTGTAACTTAGAATTAGATGTAGAGTTTATAAACTCTGTGTGAGTATCATGGTTATGAGTACTCATTTTCCCCTTTAACTTTAGTTAAAGTCAACCCTAGTTAGGATTTTCAACTTAGACTTAGAGAGTTGGTTAGCTCTGTGTAAGTATCATGGTTATGAATACTTACTCCCTTCTGGAACCTTGACCACAGTCAAGAGTTCCTCATCCCTAGTTAGGAGAACTATGGTTGCTCTGATTCCATCCTAGTTAGGATACGTAGGCACGAGATGCAACATCTTGATGAGCATACTTAATGTATATACCCTAGGTCTTTACCTTAGCACATTTTTCTTAGAAAGCAAACAATAACATAACACAAAGACTAACAAGAGGTTTCTATAGAGTACTACAAATACTTAGGATGCTAACACCTTCCCTAGGTATAATCAACCCCCGAACCTTAGATCTCGAGCTTTGTTGTTACATAGCGCACTTAGGGTTTTCTTCGATCATTACCCTTTCCTTTGGATAAATTAAAGCTCGGTGGTGAACTTTATGATTTGTAATTCAAGTTAATTCAATAGCTTGATATCCAATTCTCACCGCAATAGCCATACATAGGGAAATCCTGATAGCTCCCATTATTGAGGAAGAGATTCTTAAGAGTTTGAAAGGTTTGAAAGATAACTCAGCTCTTGGTATGGATGACTATAATGCTAAGTTATACAAGGCAACATGGGAGATTATTAAGCATGATACCATTTGTGCCATCAAGGATTTTTTTAAGAAGAACAGGATATACAAACTGTCAACTGCACTATTGTTACTCTAATTCCTAAACACAACTATGCTGTCATAATGAAGGATTACATGCATATCTCTTGTTGCATCATTATCTACAAGCTCATATCCAAGATTCGTACCAAAAGGCTTGGATCTGTCATTAGTAGCATAGTTCATAGCAGCCAAGCTGCTTTTCTTCTAGGCAAGAGAATTCATGACCACATTCTCATGGCCTATGATCTCATTAGGGGATATTCTGCTAATAATGGTGCTCCTAGATGTATGTTACAGATGGATTTACAAAAAGCATATGACACTGTTGAATGGAGTTCCTTAGAATCCATCTTGAAGGAGTTCAGTTTTCCTCAGCAATTTCTCCAATGGATTATGCTAACTGTCAAAATAATATCTTATAGATTTCAGATAAATGGTTCCCTTTCTCAGTTGTTGAAATCTAAAAGAGGGCTCAGACAAGGTGATCCCTTGTCTCCCCTTCTGTTTATTCTTTTAATGGAATATCTTCACAGAGTTCTTCAAAAACTCAAGGAGCAACCAAACTTCAATTTTCATTCCAAGTGTGAGAAGCTGGCCATTATTAACCTGAGTTTTGCAGATGATCTGCTGTTTTTCTCTATGGGAGATCAGAAATCAATGGAAATGCTTATGGATAAATTTAATGTATTTTCTAAGTCAATCGGGTTAAAGATTAATCCTGCTAAGTGCAGAGTTTTCTTTGGGAATGTGATAGATGAGGTCAAGACTAATATCAAGAACATCACAACTTTTGATGAAGGACAACTCCCTTTTAGATATCTTGGAATAACCCTGACCAGCAAAAAGTTGAATATAAACCACTATATGCCTTTGATTGATAAAGTTCTTGCTAGAATTCATCACTGGAGCTCGAGGCTATTAACCTTTGCTGGCAGAACTCAATTGGTAAACAATGTCATTTTATCTATAACTAATATTTGGCTCCAATGCTTACCTCTGCCTAAAAAAGTTGTAGCCAAAATTGATGTTGCTTGTAGATCTTTTTTCTGATCGGAACATATACTATTACTAGAAAATATCCTATTTCTTGGAAAAGAGTCTAATCTCCCAAGAAGAAAGGTGGTATGAACATCATAAACTTAACTCTTTAGAATATTGCTTGTATGGCTAAGTTGTTATGGAACCTTTGCTCAAAAGCTGGCAGCATATGGATCAAATGGATCCACTGCTATTATGTAAAACAGATGAACATACAAGCTATGGAATTGAAGGGGAACATATCATGGATCCTTAAAGCTATTTTAAAAACCAGGTCCATTGTTCTAAATACAAATGCTTGGAATTTCTGTGTGCAGATGGAAAGATATAACACTAGAAAGATCTATGACAGTTTGGATTCCACTTCAAAGGTGTAGTGGCGAAAAGCTTTTCTTCACTAATCCTGTTATACTTAGAGCCCTCAATAACCTTTGGTTGGCTTGTCATTCTTGATTGGCTACTAAAGAGAGATTACAGAAGTTTGGTATGATACAGGAAGTTAACTATTGTTTCTGTA